AATTTCAATTATATGCTTTTGTTTTGAACAATATTCAAACTGTTTTATTACTTCAATGTATTACCCAAGTCGATCTAGACTCCGTTAAGAACTGAGATTTTAGATTAACACATTCACTGCTGCATTGTTATAAAATTGTTGCTTGGGTGTGTTAATTTGTTTTAGGGAATTTGCGAAATTACCATGTATTGGAAATAAATGACAGTGACGCCGATTTTTCATGGGCGCCGCCATTTTGGTTTTGATCGGATACACTACACTATATAAGATACAAAACCGTATAATTACATCACAAAAGCAGGTCATATTGTATCTTATTATACGTCTACGCTGGTTTTGCAAATAGACACAAAGTGCAAGTTAGTTATTATAACACAGGCTAGGGATCGACATTTCAGGGCACCATAAAAAAAGTATTATTTACATTGTTCGAACTGTTGTCCTCATCTTTGTTGCCATATTCACAACGTTTCGGCTGTTGTACGCTCCGGCTTTCTTCAGGTGATTGGAATTTCGAACTGAACACTTTATTTCGTCTACCGGGGTAGATTGTCCTAATTGCACATGCAATGCCTCTTCCGGATGACTCAGTTATCTCCCTTTAAATTAAAGTTTTTATTCACCACTGCAGTGTCTTGAGGACACATGGCCCAGTGGAAAAAGCGTTGGTTAAATCCAGTGACTTGACCCAAAGAGTTGTGAGTTCAATAGCTGGCTACTGTATGCCGTATATATCATGTGTGTTTAGAAGAATATGCGGTATTGTAGTTTATATTGTATTGAATGGTGATAAATTAGTTCTTGTGGTAATTGAGTCAATTGTAAGAATGAATGGGTCGTGAATCAGATTAGCTAAGTGTAGGATAGTCAGTGACGCCCAGCCTTTCCCTACTTACCCTTTGTGCCACATGAGATGTAATTTCAAAATGAATAGTACCTGATGTATGTTCTATAATGGTTGGACAAAGTATCTCTCTTCTTCCACTTTTTGTAATGCGTGATGTAAGATTTCTTCCTAGTTCGTGTTTTGAGTCATCAGCTGCTTGTCGGAATGTTTGGAATTGTCAGATGACTGGCAGTTTTTCAGTTCTAAAAAAAAAATTAAAAAAAAATCGTACTAGTTGTACATTGTGTGGCGTCGACAAAAGCTGGTCTGAACCTGTAAATGGCCACGGTGTCCTTTTTATCGTTACGTAGGACAACAGTATTTATCAGCATTGTCGTGTACTTCGAAAGGGTGTCTTCCCTACACCATTCCGGACAAAACATAGTGACATGTATATAACTTTTTAGGAATGGATATCTGTGTCATGGCCGTTCTCATTGGTGTGAATTGCAATTTCGACATTGGTCAGAAGTCGAAGTTGGCTGTGCGTTAGTGGGTTCTTTGAAGTGTCAATGGCAGGTTATCAGTCCTGGCACGGTGGTTTCTTTGCAGTGACAATGCTGTTTCCAACTGTTTATAAAATCGCTCCACCATATTATTTGCACATGGAGGATATGCAGTGGTTCTAATATGCTCCACTTCTAGTAGATTTCTGAATTTCCGGAAGAGAGATGATTAGAATTGTGCCCTTCTCTTTTTGTTGCGGGAATTCCGAAGTGGAAGATCCAATTGTTTGGCGATTGAACCTGTTGAGGTATCTTGAATGGGTATAACCACTGAAACTATCACCTATTGTTAAATCTTATACTTGATGAGGCGATAAGGGGTCAACTATATAACTATGAAGGTCTCTGAAACGCGCATCAGGTTTACTAAAGCTGTCGACTGGTGATTTCGTATGCCCTTTGACCTTATTGTGCTGTCTTAGTCCTTGTCTCTCTGTCTTTGTTCATGTTGGGCCATACGAAACATTGTGATTAGCTTCACTATGGCTTTAATGCTAGAGTGCAAGATGTCATAAAAGTGCCGGAAAACTGCTTATCGGAGTGAGGGTGGGACGTAGGGTTTTGGCCGCTTAAATGACGTATCACAAAGCAGTGTATGGCCGTTGAATGTCGCAGGTATTTCGACAAATTTGTTTCATCTCCTGCAGTACTTGACGCATAGTGACATATTTTCCTTGCTCGACAGCGATGTTTTCATGGTTAATATCACTATCACTTATGAACTGTATATCACTCTTATGGAGAACATATGCTAACGCATTATGAGTAACGTTTATATTTCTGATGTCGGGCGTAAATTGCGAAATGTAATTCAATTGACAAATTGCTCGCGTAGAGTATTTGGCCGAGGTATTTTGTAAGGCTTATTGTCTGTGTAGATGACAAGATTCTTTCCTTCAGGTAGGTGACTGAAGTACTTTATGCCAAGACATATAATCAGCAGTTCCCTAGCGAAAATGCTATACTTCTGCTGTTTTTTGTTTTTTTTTATCTTAGCCAAGTAAAAAGCTGTGACGTGTGCTTTTCCATTTTTAATGTGTTACCCCAACTACGATAGTAGAAGCGTCTGTCGTCAGTGTCAGGATTGCATCACTGTCAGATATGTGACTTAGTTTCGTAGAATTCACTGACGATTCTTTGGCGCGTTCAAAAGCTTTAACCTGTTCTGCCGACAAAGTTATATTCTTATTATTAGCTTTTGGTAAAGATCATGGACTGAGCGTGTGAGCAACGATAAGGTCTTAGGTTGCAAACAAGGAAGAGGCTTATACTTAATATCAAGAAAAGGCAGCTGAAGTTTCTAGGACACATAATGAGGAAGGAGGGCCTGGAGAATCTGATACTCACGGATCGAATATAGGGAAAGAGAGACAAGGGAAAACAATGCGTGACATACTTGGCGGACTTAAGTCATAAGTAATTATGGCTCTCCACAATTTACTGTTCTTTGTAACACTTAGTAACGTTTATCTCTTTGCTATCTCTCCTAATCTCTATTTTGCTAACCATTTACACAAGCTGGTTAGATAGTTTATGCAGTACTTTTCTTTGTCCTTCTTGCTTTCAACATGTTCTGTCAGTGTCAAATTTTCTAAGCACTCTTTCCCTCATTATGTCTCTGATGTAAAGTATAAGTATCCTTTTTGTTTCCATTTCTACTAAAATTTCGTAATTTCTGACATATTCAGGCAAGGAGATGTGGTTCTACAGAAGGATGCTAAGGATATCTTGAACCGTGTGTGTGAGCAGACAGAGGTTGCAAACAAGGAGGAGGAGGAGGCTTATACTTAATATCAGGAAGAGGCAGCTGGAGTTTCTAGCACACATAATGAGGAAGGAGGGCCTGGAGAAGCTGATACTCACGGGTCGAATATAAGGAAAGAGAGAGAAGGGAAAACAATGCGTGACATACCTGACGGACTTAAGCGAGTGGATGAGAGAACGTGCTCTGGGGGAGGTGGCAGAGGGAAGGAACTTGTTGAGAGCTGCAAGGGATAGAGGGAGGTGGAGAGCCATGATCGCCTTACGCCCTGAAAGGATATGGCACATAAAAAGAAAGAAAGAAGGTAGTAAATGAGTGGAGCAACTGGGAGAGGTGTAGTATGTGATTCCTGAAATAATTTAACATTCCCACAAAACGTCGAAGTTGATTGTTTGGTTTGTTTTACGGCATGTCAACCTCAATGGGTCATTTAATGCCGACAAAATTGTTATTGCTGGTAATATGTTTTTCTTCAAAAATCTATTTCTGGGAATATTTTTTTTTGAAGAAATCTATAGCTGGTCATATTTTTTTCAAAGAATGTATAGCTGTTTGTATTGCTGGTATTTTTTTAAAGTATTGCTGATAATAATTTTTCCTTAAAAAATTATTGCTGGTAATAATTTTTTTATTACAAAGTATTTCTGGTATTAAAACCTATTTTTACACAAGTTTGGGTGTTAACTATTTGCCCATAGCTGGGACCCTAACAAGTGCTACCACCCCGGGTTAGGGTGGACCTGGGAACATCAGCAAATAAGAGAGGGTTCCACGCTCCTCAAAACCTCCTGATCAGAGGCCTTGCTGTTGGACGTAGTTTATCGTCTTACCCACGACGCGGATGTATCTTATCGTCATACATAGGACGGGTCGAAGTTGAACAGAAGTTGGCAAAGGAAAATTATGGATGGAATTGACCTTTTGTTTTTAATTGGTGAAATTCCATCCTGGTGTATTGTGTGTACAAGAAAGTTGATTTTTTTCGGCTCCTAGAATGTACTTTTTAGGATTAATACTAAATATTCGAAGATTCGCCATGTAAATGCTGAATATATTCGTTTTTAGTTTTGCCAGCTATTAGCACCTCATCCCAATAAGTGAGCAACAAACGGGAGGCCAAGAAGAATCTTGTCCATTAATTTCTGAAAGGTCTATACGGTATTTTTATCTCCAAACGGTGTTCGGGTAAATTCCTGTAATGCAAAAAGGCGTAGAAACGGCGGTTTTATAAAGATATTGTTGAACAAGCTAGATGTAACCGTATTTTCTATTATAATAGTTTCTTTTCTTGCACTACTCGCCTGTGAAAATCCTTTCCGGTTTTTGCCATCTCCCCCTACCACCTATATCTACCACTTCGTCCCCAGCCCCTCAACCTCCGGCGTCTTCCTCTTTGGGTTGAGGTGTTCACTAGGTAAGAACTGAACTTAGGGGTAACTGGCCGTACGCTCCCTGAGTACCCGTAGATTATTTCGACCGGTCAACTGGTCAAGTCCTGTTTGCTGCCCACGCTGTGTTAGTTTTTACATCCATTAAGCGGGGTGTTGTCCATACGTTCACGGTCGACTGGGGATATGGACAAGGCTGTGAGAGTTGGCACTAGGAAGTTTTAGAATGTGGCAAAATAAAACAAGAAATAATATCTGCAGAAGCCAGACAACAATGGGGGAAATATTGACGTCTTTTATATAAGAAGATAACATCAGAACAGAGGTTACAGGGAGAATAAAAATATTTAACATAAATGAGAAAAGAAAAAGTAAAAGACACAATGCATCCAGCGAATTCCCAACAGAGAGAGGGTTTGTGTGTGATAAACGCGTATTGAATCGCCTGGGGTAGGTTTATGGCTAGTAGTCCAGTCTCATACAGACTTCTCAGAACCGGGGGCAGTCTTCTTTCTCTCCTCCAAAAGTCTCCCGCAAATCTCTCTACTCACTGCGACGATAGTCTCTTTCCCCGACTCCTCCTTATTAGCAAATCTCGAGTTAATATAGAAAAAGGATCAGCTGAGCACAATTGACCCTCGGCCCGGCACGCAGCTACCACAAGTGCCAAAAACTATCCCTTGACATGTAAACCTATTCTCCAATTATTTACCTTATCTCAATCACGAGTTTTCGCTTCACCAAGATTATACTTTGGGTTATCTAAACATTGATCCAACCTTTTGATCAAAACAAATACTGTTAAACAAAACCAAGTATCTCGCCCATCCGCATTGTTTACTAGTGACCCAGATTTAAAACATCGCCTCCTGCCCTGAGATCGTGTTTCTCATTGGTAAACACACATCTTAACCCAAATTGTACTTTGATATATAAACACCATTTCCACTTCCAGTCAATAAAAGTTATATTTGCGTGTGTGCATTCATGTGCATGTACATGTGTATACCTCTCTCTGTTACATATAATCTTCAAAAATGTAAATGCAACGCCAGTCGCCATCTTTTGCCTTCCAGAAACCTGTTCTTTTATTGTTCTTTCTCTTCACTAAAGCCTTTTCTCTTCCACTTTCAGTATTCCCTTGCGTTCTAGTGATGTTATCATCTTACTTGTGGTGAAATGATTAAAAAAAATCTGTCTCTGCTGTCAGCATTTAGTGATATGCTCGTACAAGATCTAATTTTGAGAAAATCGTAGCTCCTTCAAGACTAGTGATGAAAACACTGATATACAGGAGTGGATAGCGATCTGCTGTCGTGATGGCTTTAAGACTTCTAAAATCATCGCAGTACCTCCAGAAGTTATTATCCTTAGGAATAAAGCATATGGGAGATGATCAGGCACCCTTCAGTCAGTTATGTGCCATGCGTGATACACACTTAGGCGATCATGTATCTTTTGATACATGACTGACGAGGCAGATGTTTTTCCCGCAGTAGGTTGCCATTTTTTTCTGCAGTAGACCAGTTGCTATCCAAGGCTATAGAACCCGGTCTGTCCTGCTATTTACTCATAGCTAGGGGGGGGGGAGAAGAAGAGAATTTATACCTTTGCCAAGGGCATTAGCACATCAGTCAGTCAGTTATGTGTCATGCGTGATACACGCTTAGGCGATCATGTATCTTTTGACACATGACTGACGAGGTAGATTTTTTTCCAACAGTAGGTTGGCATTTTCTTTCTGCGGTAGACCAGTTGCCATCCAAGGCTATAGAACCCGGTCTGTCCTGCTATTTACCCATGATTTTAGAAGAAGAGGATTTATACCTTTCCCAAGGGTATAAGCACATAAGTGAATGCAATGGATTCGATTGCATTCACTTACGTGCTAATACACCCTTAGAAGGGCGTAATATCCCTAATTTTCAAGAACTCCTGTTCTCAATTTTTTTTTTTTAGGCCTGGTCTACGTGGTGACTGGGTATCCCGTAGTGCGTATTTAGTGTTTGGTGACATATTTGACAATATCCTTGTATCTAATAGGCATAGTAATCTGTGGATATCACCTTACGATGCTCGAGTATTCTTTAATGTGCGTGGGCGCCGTGCAGATTCCTGTAGAGTGGTATATGGTACGGATACCCGTCATTTGTAATTTAGTTTGGTTATCGGTTATTTGCGATATTAACCGATAAGTAGAAGTTGACCAGAATATCCGCTCCTATAAGGGGTATCTTGGGGCACATCAGCGTGGTGAATTGGTTAGCAAGCCTGCCTCGGTAGATCAATTACAACTGAGTAGTGAATTCGATACTTACTGTGTACTCCATAGTTTTGGTCTTGAGTCACATATAAGCTACGCTGTATTAATTTGTTGCGACCAAGTGATATTGTTAACAGATTAAAACTGTCTTTACTAATCATAAATGAAAAAAAACTCACTACAATTCTGTGACTCACCCCTAGTATTTTACAAAGAATTTTGAATCATTTTGTGTGTATAAACGTGTCGATTTTGTAAATACGTATGGCCATACACGACATTATTAGAAAGAGATACCTATAGTAAATTTTAAATCTATTGGTTATTTTCTAACATCTTCCCAACAAGCATCTTCATAAGTAAAGCAATAAAGTCAAAGTACCTAAAATTTAATAAAATATTACAATGCTCAAAATATTTTTAACTTTTAAGATTATATATATATATATATATATATATCCCTGAGGACACATGGCACAGTGGATAAAGGCGTTAGTTAGATCCAATGACAGGGCCCAAAGAGTGGGAATTCAATACCTGGTTAAGGCAGTGGAGAGCTTGGAGCGAGGAATTAACAGGAGATAACTGATAACTGATATCCATTAGATATGGCACGTGGAACTAGAACAGTCTACCCAAGTGAGCGAAATAAAGGGTTCAGTTCGACATGTGAAGAAGGTCGGAGCGTACAACGGCCGAAACGTTGTAATAAATATGGCGACAAAGATGAGGAAAATAGTCCGAATAATGTAAATAGTGTACATAATACCTCATCTCATAAATATTGACAGAAACTATTTCTTATTTAACAGTTAAAATATTTCATCCTTGAAAATGGCTAAATGTATCCTCAATCCGATCCGCTATTCGTTACTACTACTCCTAATATCTTTATCTCCCTTCCGTCTGCCTGAAATATCTTCTGTTTTTCAACATCTACCTCGCTTTTTCAGACGATTTTTGGCACCTTAGCCTGGTTGAAAAATTTTGTTGGGGGTGACATTGTGTCACCCCTCGTGTGCTGGCACCCGGGGCGGTCCGCCTCCCTCGCCCCCCTTAGCTACGCCACTGATTGTATGTACCTAAAGGATTGCGGGCCGCAGTGTTGGAACAGTGGTACAATAAGATGGGACATGTGTAAATTGAAAAGACCTTCGACCTGATTAGTCGAAAGTATTATTGGCTCGGTTTATATAAAAATGTGACAACTTATGTAGGCAGCTGTATCACTTGTCAGGCGAGATGTGAGAAGAATAATACCGACATATTGGCATCCTTTCCAATCTCTTTGAGATGATTAGCATGAAAATGTCGGGGCATTGTACAGAAACGCTGAGAAAAAATTTATATATTGTGAGTTTTGTGAAAATTTGTGTATGTGAAAATTAATAATGTGGATGTAAAAACGCAACTAGACACTGGTAGTGATATCACAATAATCAACGAAGCTGCATGGAAAGCAAGCAGAAAACCTATATTAAAAAGAACTTCGATAATCGTACGTGGCGTGTCGGGTGAGAAATTATTTTTTTTTATTGGTGAAATGACTTGTAACTTTTCATTTCGTAACAAGTGTATAAAAGCTAATGTGTTAAAAACACTATAAACGTATTTGATACTGACTGGATGGAACTATTGGAGTTGTGGGATTTACCTCGCAATATTTATTGCAAAAATGTAAGTGAACAATATACCGATTAAAAAAAAACCCAACAAAAACAATGTGAAAATTTAAAGGAAGAATTGAAAAAAATGTTTTGAAGATTTTCTGTCGGATGAGTTGGGTCGGTGTTCTAAAGTCCAAGCGAAATTTCAAGTGAAAAAAAGGGGTCGACGCAAGTGTTTAAACTGAAGCCTAGTGTGCCGTTCGCAGCATTGGATCAAGTCAACAAAGAATTAGACAGACTTGAAAATATAGGTGTAATTAGAATGTTTCCCCATTGCAAATGGGTAGCACCAGCAGTATATGTAAAGAAAGAAAAAATCGTGTTTGTGCTGATTTTTCAATAGGGTTAAATAAATATTTAGAATCCCATAACTACCCATTACCAAATTCAGAGGAAATTTTTATGAATTTAAACGGTGGAAATTTTTTTCGAGGCTGGATCTTTCTGAAGCGTATTTGCAAATACAGGTTGAAGAAGAATATTCAGAGTTAATAACTATAAATATGCACAAGGGATTGTACAAATTCAATTGATTTTTGAGATATAAATGGTTCCAACTATATTTCAACAACGTATGGATAATATGCTTGCAGAGTGTGATTTCACAGTTGCTTATCTGGATGATATATTAATTAAAAGTGTATCGAGGGAACAACATATCGGGCATGTGAAAAGAGTTTTTGAAAAAAATGAGACTACGGGTTTAAACTCAGTGAGGAAAAGTGCAAATTGTTTTTGCCTAAAATCAAGTACCGAGGACAAATCATTGACAAAAATGGTCGTCAACCAAATCTGTCGAGGTCAAGTGCAATTAAGAATATGTGTCCTCCAATAAACTTTACTCACTTACAAGCATTTCTAGGACTATTAAACTATTATCAAATCTATATACCTAATATGCAGAATTTGAGAGCTCCACTGAACAATGTACTTAAAAAGGCGGAAAATGGAACTGGACTGATAAGTGTCAGAATGCGTTTGAAGAAATCAAGAAAATACTAACGTCAATCTACTACGCTCCAAAAGCAGAAATCATATTGGCTTCAGATGCTAGTGACTATGGTATAGGAGCAGTAATTCTACATAAATATGATGACGGTAACATGAAAGCCGTCGCACATGCTTTGTGTTTGCTACTACCGACCGAAAAAACTACAGCCAGATCGAAAAAGGATCGGAACAAGGGGAATATTTACGTGTGATATTCACTCGCAGACAAGAGAATATAATAATGATGATTAAGCAGTGTACTTAAATGTAAGGGAACTTATGGGATCTACGTCTGTTGGGAAGGAGAGAAAAGAGACCTGTGATAGCCATAGTAGGAAAAGCACTGGGCGATCTAAAATGATTAGAAGGAAGTTAGAGCTACTTGAAATTAGCCAGAATGAGATGGTCCAAGTAGAAAGTGGGTCAATCTCAAATGTAACTAGAACTGATCCACTTAAGAACAACTGATTAATCACTGGGGTCCAAAATGTGGGGTGGGAAATAAGGAATGTAATGGCAATAATGGGAGTCCAGATGAATAGACTAGTGACATTGTTAGGGATTAGGGACAGTATTTCCAGCTGCGGATAATTAACGATAGGCTGAGGCAAGCTTTGCAATAATTATTACTACCACTGGAGCATGTATGCCCAGATCACCATGCTGGCTTTGGGATATC